AAAAGAGAGAGAGAGAGGTGAGAAAGCAGCATCTGGGGGGAGAATGGTCAGCCACAATTCCCTCTCCTCCTCTCTCCTCCATACTTCTCTTAGGATTTTAGGCAAGCATGCACACATTCATTGTGTTCTTTAAACTGCTGGGTCCAGGACTTGAACTGTGCTATCAGCCAAGTGGGATCTAGCTACTTTAACCACTGCCACACAACTGGGCCATGGACTACAAATTTAATCAGTCACCTCAAGGGCAGCCAGGGAACAGAATAAAGTAAGCCCATTCTACTTCTTAGATGCTATAGGGCCAGATCACAGAGGCAGCAGGTTACCAACTATTATCCTTCAAGAAAAGGGAAGATGACCCTCAAGATGATGTAGATAAAAATCAGCAGGCTACCACTCCCACCACAGTCCCCAGTCGGGCTGGAGGAAAGAGCGTTGAACCAAAGAGTATTATTCTCAAGCTGTAAGATCTAATGAAATTTGCCTTCCTAGGTTTTAGACTTGTTTGGGACCCACCACTCATTCCTTTCTAATTTTTCCCGTTCGGAGTGGTAATATGAACCCTGTATCTCACCAACATTGTACTTTTCAAGCATATAACTTGTCTGGTTTCATAGGTTCACGGCTGGAAAAGAATTTTGCCTCAGGATAAGACATACCCATACTTGCTTTAGATATTAAAATAAGACTTTGGACTTCAGAGTTTATGCTGAAATGAGTTAAGACTTTTGGGGTCGGGACCATCAGTTAGCGTAACGGCTATGTCGCTGGACTCCCACGTAGTCGACTGCGGTTCGTCTCCCGGACCCGGTGGCATAAAACTCATGCAAGGCGCGTGTGTGTGCATGCCCAAGATCCCGAGAGGAGAATGGAGGAGAAAGGATTGCAGCGTGGCCATCCCCCCTGGGGGGTGATTTCTCGCTTTCTGTCTCTCTGTCTCTCTGTCTGTCTGGCGAGCGCACACGCCCTATAGTGAAAACCTCTCAAAAAAAAAAAAAAAGACTTTTGGGGTCAAAAGAATATATTTTTGCATGCAATAACGACATACAGGGATGGGGGCTGGGACAGAACACCATGGGCTTTATTGTGTTTCTCCTCAAATTTGCATGTTGAAATTGTAACTCCCCCAATGTGACCAACTATATTTGGAGATGTTTTAGGTGGTAACTAAAGTTAAATGAATTCATAAGGGCAGAATCCTTATCTAATAGAAATGGTAGATTTTTAAAAAAAATTATTTTATTCAATTCCATTTATCATTCATTTATTTTAATTTGACCAGAGAGACACAGAAAAAGAGAGAGAGGAAAGTGAGAAAGCAAGCCACCAGGTCCGGGACTCGAACCATGGTCGGCCATGTGGGAGTGTCCAGCGCCTTAACCACCATGCCACCTGCCAGTCCCCAGGAACTGGTAGCTTTATAAGAGGAAGACAAAGAGATTTTTCTTTAAACCCTATGAGGACACAGTGAGATGGCAGCTATCTACAAGCCAGGAAAAGAGCCCTCATCAGAAACTAACCCAGACAGACCTTGATCTGGGACTTCAGCCTGCAGAACTGTGAGAAAATAAAATTCTGTTGCTTACATCAGTCAGTCTGCGATGTTCTGTTATGGCAATTTGAGCAGACTAAGAGGCATTTTCCTTAAATCTTCAAACTAGCTTCCTAAAATACCTTTTTTCAATAAGTTTATTACTCCAGCACTACAGTATTTCACAGGGAGGGGGTTGATGCTGAATCCAAATGATCCTCACAGGATATATAAAAAATGTAATAAGTATGGAGACCAGCAGGTGGTGTGGTGGTTAAGGGTGCAGGACTCCCACATGGCTAACTGCGGTTTGAGTCTCGGACTTGGTGGCTTGCCCCCCCCCCCTTTCTCTCTCATTTTGTCCCTTTCTGGTCAAATTAAAATAAATAAATAAAGTTAATAAAATAATTTTTAAAAATGTAATAAGTTAAGACAAACAAAGAGAGTAAAGACCTTGATAACCAAGACTTTTGGTTCGACTACTGTTCTTACAGATCTTCAGATCTTACTCCAAAAACAAAACAAACAAACAAACTTGTATTGCTGGGCCAAAAGATACCACACAGGCTAGGGATGTCTGAGCAGAAGCTCATTATAATAATAATGTTATTTTTAATAATAAAGCACAAATGAAAGAGAGAGAGAAGCTCTTCAACAGGGTCTTGGCTTACCACTATCCCTTTCCCTAGTCCTCTAGCTCTTTGGGATCCTGGGCCCCTGCATGTATGCCCAGCATGTTTTCAAATTGACCTGGAGATCTAAACCCACAGTCAACCATATGGCTTGCATGGGCACTTAATGTTACCACTGTGCCACAAAAGCTGGGCCCCATTTAATATTATTATTATTATTTTGTTTTTAAGCCAGATTATACATGACTCGCCAGAAGAGACAGTGGGAGAAAGTATCCTCCAATGAGGCATGGTAATACTGCACTTTTCTCCTCCATTTCTCCATCCTGTTAGGATTTTAGGCACACATGCAAACATACATGACGTTTCTCTTCCTTCTTTTCTTTTCTTTTCTTTTCTTTTCTTTTCTTTTCTTTTCTTTCTTTCTAAAAAACATTTTTGCCATAGGGCACATGGTTTTGCCCGAGGGAGATGAGGGAAAGA